AAATTGAACCATAAAGTTGGTAACATTAAATTAACGATTAATACCCTGGACAGACTATGGCTTATATCATGTAATATAGGCTGTCTTGCAATGAGCACTCATACATTGGATTTCCAGTGAAAACTAGATGTATGAGTGTTCATTGCAAGACAGCCTATATTACATGATATAAGTCATAGTCTGTCCGGGGTATAAGTTACTTTTCATGATTTTCCCTGCATACATTATTCACCAAAAACAAAGATCAAAGTCTTTGGAACCTGGTTCATCTTTGCAATTTTCTTGGCAATTTTCATGGAGCTTACAAATTGCACTTCTAGGTGAATTTCTTTTTCATGCAATTTTACATAAAAACATATTACTAATTACCAATTTCAACAAAAAATCAATAGAGTTTTGGCCAACTTTTTGGGTCAGATACTCCTATGTGCATCGGTCGTTTGTCGCTTGGAATCTAAACGTTAGACGAAGCGCCACTACCGTGTGATGATCATGCGATATTTAGCAACCAGGATCACGTTATCGCCATGTACGCTACGAACGTACGTAGTAACAAACAAACAAGAGTAAGCTTTTACGCTGTACACAACATGGCGGGCGGTGATAAGCGACCGCAAATTGTACAAATGCCCATGAAGGCCACCTGAATTGATTGCTAATTGGCTACAGGCTACGGGAGTTCGAGGAATATTCCATGCAAATGTAAACGTTTTGAATCTTTGTTTTTGCAATGGTATTCGCGATGATTGGTGTTTATTAGTCGCAATAGAATGGTAATGAAAAGGGTGTAAAGGTTTTGCACACGTTGGCTGTGAAAATTACCATGAAATTGAATAGAAACGAACATGATATCATCACGGATGGGACGGAGGATCATTCCATCACGTTCAGCATTTGACACCGATTCCTCGAGCCAAAGTGTATTACGAAGGTACGCGATAAAAAATTTCGTCATAAATCGCATGAGCCTCGGAAGGAGGAGGAATCACTGCGTCACGCTAAGCCACCGATCCGGTTCGAGTAGAATCGATGGCGCGTCTACTATGGTAGCCGTCGATCATCGTGTCTACGTGTCCAACTGGTCGTAGAACGAATCAGCGCAATTTTAATAATTGGAAGGTGAAGTTAGCATTTTATTTTTCCGCGGTACGTTCGCGCACTGATAAAGTTCAAGGACGTTTGTATACGTGAGAACGCGCTAGTCTAACTGGTGAAGTCAGTGTACCACATGAATGAATGTAGTGATAAGGAACGCCCACACTGACTGTTGTGGTTACTGTTTGAAATTTAAGGAGATAACAAACGGCTCTCGGGGAATGGTCTTAGGCTGTGAACCATTTGCCGAGTTAAATTTAACTCGTGGTTAAAAGTGACATTTCGAAAGTTATTTTCTATGTTCGAAAATCCCCGTGCTGTCGATCAACCGGTTTTCAACCCACGGTTGTCAAAATTTAACTTCTTGTTTGTCAGAAATAACCATGCTCGGATAGCACGGTTCTTCGATAACTTTCCATCTGTCAAATTTTAACCAAAAGTTAGAATAATCCACCAAATGGTTCAGAGCCTTAGAGAGACCTTCCAAGCACCAAAGCAAGCTGGGTGGCAGATTCTTAAACACTCATCTTCATTTGTCCATTATGTAATTCAGCATTCGGTTGAAACTCGTGGTGACAAAAACTCATGTAAAGCTAATACATTTTTGATAGGAAACCTAAAAAACAAGGCAGGGCTTGGGTAGCGTCACCCTAATCTCAAACTATCTGTGTACCAACTGTCAAAACCAGGGTGGCTACTGAATTTAAGAAATTATCGGTTTCATATAAGCAGCTAAAGAAATAAATGCCGGCATGATTGATTTCAGCAATTGATGTTACTGGGAAAAAAAAGTTAGGGCATTTTATTTTAAATGCAGAAACCGGAGGAAACCAACCCTCTAATGGAAAATAAAATAAATTTTAAGAATTTTGAAAATTGATAAGGTTCGAATCGCAACAAATTGTCAAATAATGTTTTATAATTTAGATAATTATTCAAAGGTTTAATAAATTTGAAATGTTTTTATAAAAGTCACAGAATTTTGAAATTTATTTAAGTTACATATAAATTATTCAAATGGCACGAAACCACATCGATAGATTGAGCATACCCATAATCTTAGAAAATAATGAGCTCTACGCAACATTTAAATTTTCAACATTGCAAGAGAATATTTTCAAATTTAAGGCTAGGTTATTTTTTTCATATTTTTTTAACTTTGTGACATTTCTGACGACGTTTTAGAAGATCTCCGATTTTAAAACAATCAAGGCACCTGGACATTCATAAAATTTTAAGATTTTGACACTTTAAAGAATTGATTTATGAATGCAAAATAAATTGAGGAAAATGCGGACGAATTCTAGGAACAATTCTGAAGAAATTCTGGGGAGAATAACCGATGGAATTTGACTAGAAATGTCAGGTCATTTTTTAAAATATTTCAAGAAAGTTTTAAGGAAAACTAAAGGTGAATCCTAAGGTAGTTCTGAAGAGACTAGAATTCCATGGTGTTCTAAAGCATATCAGAAGGAAGTTCAGGGAGAATTCTAACGGAAATCGGAGAAGGGTTGAAAGAGAATTAACCCAATCCGAAAACTACGCCTAATGATGACCTACGACTGAAAATCTCTTAAATGCTGATCAATTTATTAATCAAAAAGATGTTTTGAGTAGAGCTGCTAATTCTTAATACATATCAAAACATTTTTTGCAGAATTTCAAGCTAGTTTGAATGTAGTTTCAATAGATTCTAATTAATTCTATAAGGGAACTCAAAGGAGAGTTTCAATATAATGCCAAGAGATCATTTTGAGAAGAATTTCAAGGAAATTCAGGGGTAATTGTTATGGAACTCTGAGGTGAAATCCAAGGAAATGTTGGGAAAACATTTTTTAAATTATTGATGACATATCAAGACATTTCCAAGTAATATTCAAAGCGAATCCTTAAGAAAATTATAGAGCATTTTCACGAGAATCATTAAGAATATAAAGAAAAATGTAGAGCGAATTCCAATTTTTTTCGGGGAATTCCTTACGTGTTCTATACTGAATTCCGAGACTGTTATGTAGGAAATTTTTAAGGAATACCGGACAGAATGATACGATTATTGAGGGTAATCCTGAATGTAAAATTTTAGACTGATCCTAAGAAACTCCTTGAGACATTTGCAAAAATATCCTGAGACAATTTAAAAAAAAAGTGAATTTGCACATAAAAAATCCACATTCCATACACAGAAACTCAAGATTCAGGATTAACAAAAAATCTCAAGATTCTGAGACTTTGATTGATTGTAAATTTTAAGATTCAGGTCTTAGAAAACTGTTCTAAATTATGGGGCTAGAAATTTCAGGAAAGTGTACTTATCGAAATAGATATGAGCTTCCTTTCTTTGATTAACATCCTCACGGCTATGTTAAGACATTCCAGAATAATAAAAAAAATCAATCTGAGGCTAATAATACATTCAAAATGTGGGATTTAAAAAAAAAACAAATTTAAAAAATCTCAGATTTCACCCTGAAAATTTTTCAATGAATTTAAACTTGAAAGAACTTTCAGGAATCTAACAATTGAAAGATTTTGTATAGACCCTTTTTGCTAATTTTGTGAAATAGGGTAGGGCACTACTTCAGACTAATCGCCCGTTTAGGGCCTATCGAGCATTTATGATTGCAGCGTGAACGTGTCAAACATACGTTTTGTACGATGCTTCTACTATATAACTGCAAGATGAAGTGTTGAAGAACGCAAAATAAGATCTCGAAAACAAAAGGCGCACTTGAAGTGTACAAAAGGCGCACGCGAGTTGACTTTTCTTTTCGTTCGATAGGCCAAAGAGAATCCCACTGACGATTCAATGGCTAATAGGCAATGGCCAGAAGCAGTTTTGCATTTCCAACAATAAACCAATATTTCGGGACCTCTTATCAGAACTAACGGTACATAGGGGTAAGAGGGGCATAGTGAACAGGTGGGGCATAGTGAGCATCCCGTGCACCAGCTTGAACTTCCGGCCGTTCGGAACAAATTGGTTGGTAGTAGGATCAATACCATAATGATATTAAACCTACTACAAGTTGATTTATTTCATGCAGCTAGAGATCCAGGGCCAAACTGCGGGATGCTCACTATGCCCCACCTGTTCACTATGCCCCTCCTTCCCCTATGGAATGGTAAATAAATTTAGAAGTCATCTGTAATAATAACATTCCGTTTGGTGCTAAACTCTGCTAAATTAAGAAAGACTAAGTACGGGTTGTGCTTAATAGGCCAGGAATGGGGTAGTTAACCCTACTACTTTTTCTGCTTTTTTGCATACAAAATAAATCGCCGTAACATTTTTTACTAGTGACATCTGTTGCGAAAATCAACCATACAATTTTCATGGAATTGTCCTCAGAACTCTTCTTAAAATTTACCTGGAGCTCTTCTCACAATTTCTCGGAGTTTTTTCATAATTGCCTTTGAATTCCAGTCAAAACTAATTTGAAGTTCATCCCAGAAATACCTTGGAATTCCTTCCATGCATGTCTTGAAATTTTTCTCTGAAATAGATTGGTGTAGTGGCGTCACCCGAACCTCAATCTACCTGTTCAACAACTCTCAAAACGTAATCAAACGTAATCTTTGACACTAGAAGACCCTGTGCCTTTTGAGACTGATTTGAATGTAAAAATGACCATTTTTTTTAAATTGATGAAAAGATAAAAAGTGAGGGCACGCGACACCACTGGTGTAATCACTGTTACGCAAAAAAAAAATCTTCTAAATTCTTCTCAAAATCCTCTTAATAATTCTTCAAAGTGACAGAATCTTGTAAATCCAGTCCAGTCCAAAAATATTTAAAATTTTCCAAGGTTCAGAAGATTATTTTTTCTGAAGAGAGAATCAAGTATTCTTGAATTTTCATCGCAATTCACTAATAAATAAATAATAAATAACAACGCCACTCTTACCTTACAAACCAGCTCTTCCTGAGTTTTGATGTCGATGCATCGGTATAGCGAACTACCTTCGACACTGTCCAGCAGAAGATAGCGCTCCGCCAGGACGGCAGCATTTAGCGGTGGCGTCACGTTGGTCGAGATGGCATCCCGCTGCGGATACAGAGCCGTAGAACCGGCTCCGGTAGCAACGTTCACCGTTCGACCTCCCCTACCACCATGCTGTTGCTGCTGCTGTTGCTGTTGATGATGATGATGGTTCCGGTAGCATTGCCGATGGTACGGACACTTCTTGTTGGCAGGACCATTGTTGGCGGCGGATGCAGCTCCGAGTAGCGCGAGATTCGACGCGGATGACGAACCGGATCCGGAAGCCGCCGCAGCGGCAGCAGCTGCTGCTACGGTGGCCAGCGCAACCGTACCCGAGTGATTCACGAATGTTACCGTCGCGGGAATCGTCGCGGTACCGTTTGCTGAAACCGTAACCGGAATCAGCTGCTGCGAAGACGTCGACGGGACATCATCGGGTTTGTTCGCGAACAGACGCGCGATATCAACGCCGGTCGGAACGGTGGCAGGCGTATTGAACGTATCCATCGTTATGCAATTTTTACTTTTATTTTTCGATAAGATTAGAAAGCACCGATAAACTTACGTTACTACTATGTACACCACGAAGAATGCTTTTTCTTCAAAGATGTTTCTTAATAGATATAGCTCAACAAATCTTCCGTTGCACTCCTGAATGCTTCTCACGCTAGGTTCTCAATGCCTTGAATGAGCCATTTTGTCGCTGTTTTCACGATTTTGTTTCAAATCTCACACTGCTAGAACATGAACTTTCCTGAAGCTTCAATAAGCTTACAAATCATTTTCTATTTCAACGCAACTTTTTTACATCAACTAGGATATTTCAACTGATTGCACTACCGTATTTCACCAAATTGCGTTATGGAGCAGAACTCTTCGTATAGCCAGAAAATACATAAACATATGCACAATCGATTTGTGTTCTGTCTTCCTAGCTGCTGTTGTGACCTGAAATTAAAGTGAGAACATGGTTACATTTCTGTTGTTGCTGCCTCAGAAGACACCTTGATTACGAGCAAAACTGTGGTGATGAAATCGTTCGCCAATATTGAGTATATGGTTGTTGCCTTTCGGTTGGTTATTAAGCTTTAAGTTTGTTTATACGTATGTTGCTGCTTGGCGACTAGCGGAAGGACAACTGGAAAGTTGAGCTTACCGCTCCACTTTGAACGAATCAACTTGTGTACCAAGTGCAACGCGTAGTGAGAGAATGATTAAGAGTTTTGTGTCAAGTCATCAACCAATCAAACAAAGCGATAGCAGGAACGTGTGGAAACACGTTTACGGAATGACTGGGACTGCCTTCGGGACTGAAAGTAGAATGTCAGTACTAGTCACCGTCTACTGGCATCAGATTGGGGAAAGACACAGGCCAACTAACCTGAATGAACATGGAACAACCTGGGAGGAATGTTCAGTGGCTTGACGCATGTTGTAAACGGTATGTAATGATAGCTAGTACTAGGTTCTTGATTCAGCCATAGCTGGGTTGGTTTCATCTCACTCTATGTTTTAGTAGTGTGACTCATGTACATACAGTGCTGCTCGATTAATGGCAGTGCAAACCGATACAGGTATTCCATAGCAAAACGATATAGTGGTTCTGATATTTTTGTTCCTTATCGCAGAACCACTTTTCAAAGATCAAAATATCAAATGAAAGGTAATTAAAAATACTCCTATGCGAGTAGACTACCATGCATTTTCATTAATTTACAGCGATTGAAACATGGTCACGACGCATGGTAGTCTAGTCGCAGTATTGAGCAAAAAACCAAAACTTTATAACTTTAAAAAATATAACTCAAAAATAAAAAAATAAATAAAACACCTCGCTGATTTCTTTTTATACGTTGCGTAAACAAGCCTTAATTTTCAATGAAAAATATAAAAATAATATTGCGCCCACTATTTACCATCCATGAAAACCATGAAACAAATACAACCAATGTTTTTCAAAGTAAAATCTCAAGTTTTCGTATCATTATATTTTTACTAAGAAGTATAACCTTTCATTTGATATTTTGATCTTTGAAATCGGCCAAGTGGCTCAAAAGTTAAAAAATTTTGAAAAAAAAATCGATTTTTTGGACCACCCTAACATGGAAATGGTCACCCTTATGACAAAATAACAAAAATACGGGTCTAATATGTATTTTGCGAAAAGCAACAAAACTACCAATTTTTACGAAATTCTGAGAACCACTATATCGTTTTGCTATGGAATTGCTGTAGCAGATAGTTGTGGTTTAGGTGTTGTGGAAAATATAAGATTATTTTTCTCTTTTAGCTCTCCTAAAATAAGGTATATTTGCATGTTTCAAACTTAAGATTAGCCCAAAAAAAATCAAATTATCTTAAGATTTTCATTCCTTTGGACCTATAGTTGCGGTAGTGTTCCTATAATAAAGCAATCCATAAGAAACCAATGCATTCCACTATTATAGGAACCAAAGTTAGCAACTACCGCAACTACTGGAACAGTGTTTCTATTCATGGAGGACGAGTTTTCTGAAAATTTATTCTATTTAATTACAATGTAATATTTTTCTAGCAGAATAGAGCTTGAAAGCTATTGATTGACGTTTAAACATTGTATATTTATTTTTAATAAATAAATTGCCTTTGTCAGTAGCGAAGGTAATTTATTAAAAATTAAATATACGATGTACATTAAATCTATAGCTTTCAACCTCTAATTTGATAGAAAAATATAGCATTGTAATAAAAATGCATATACAGCAAAAAAAATCATTTTGATATCACATCAAAGTGGATGCACTTCAATTGTGTCGAAAACATGGTGTAATATTACTTGCCAAAAAGAACAAAATTATCATTAATACAGTACATGAACTGAAATGACGTTGTTTTTACTGAATTTGTTTATTTTTATGGCCATAAAAATAACATGAGATTTTCTAGATGATTGAAGTACATCCTCTTGGATGTCAAATTAAAATTTATTTTTTGCTGTGTAAAAACTCGTCCTCAATTATAGGAATACTGTTCCAGTAGTTGTAATAGTTGCTTTAGTTCCTATAATAGTGGAATGCAGTGCTTTCTTATGGATTTCACTATTATAGGAACAATACTGCAACTGTAGGTGCAATGGAGCAAAAATCTTAAAGAAAATCAATTATTCTTTGATATGGTTGGGCTAATTTTAAAGTTGAAATATCCAAATATGCTTTATTTTAGGGAAGCTGATGAAAAATTATCCGGATTTTCCTGACCATACCGCAACTATAGGTACACCACTATTACTGGAACACCTACCACCCTACTGCTATGAGGTCGCAAATTTTGAAATGTATTAAGGTTCAATTTACTTTGACGCATTTTCGAAAAATTCAAACCCAGTTTATTTCGACGCATCATTTTAGATTGCAAAACGCTTGACGAGAGCTTCTTGCAATTTGATACGTTTGTAAGTTTTCGACATTGCACCAAAGTAAATTGTACCTTAAGCATACTGAATTCACTTTACTCTACTGCACCTAGCCTAAAACATATAAACATTAAATACCCTGCTATCATTCCAATACCATCTACACTAAAAATCCTGTCACTCAATTGTCCCTGCTGGAACGACTTTTATAGTCGCATAAAATTTATTTATTTCTTTCCTAGGTACAAGCAACCCTCCCGACCGAAAGTGACAAAAATTGTAAAATTTCCCCCTATCTTTACAACTTGCATCGTACAGCACCTCAAGATGACGATACTCTCCATTACCATCACACCATCGTCACTACCACCAGGTGCAATAGAAAGAACCATAAATTCCTCCAATATAACAAACTCAATGATCATCTCACATAAACCTTTATAGTTTGAAAGGTGTAACTTCTTCCCTCTGTGTTTTGTAAGTAGGTTGGAACACGAGTGTACCCCCTAGTTTACCGCTCCTACGTTTTCACAAATCTGGTCCCTTTCCAACTAATGACCAAGCTGCGAAGAAATGTGCAGGTCGATTACTGGAATCAATCGCTGTTGACAAGTGTTTCTGATTCACACACACACACTTGAGAATATCCAAAACGTATTTCCCCTCGAAATGGACTCATATTTGCTATAGCGATAATATCGTCTTTCGTTCCAAATATTTTCGTAACGTAGTGTAGCTTCAGTTAGGTCGGAAAGAAGACTCCCCATCGTGTGCAAAATTCAGAAATGCGCAATTAGTGGGCACAGAAATACTGTCTTCCCAAGAAAAGGCGTGCTTTATTACGTGTTTAATTGATAAACAACGCAAAACGACCCTAATAAAAAATAACCATAATCGATCGATAATCATTGAACTATTTCACAAATGGTTTGGATGATATCCAGAACACGGCGTTAAGCAAATTAACCATACAATTTTTATTAGGAGAAGTCCTTACACTGGAGGAGACGGGAAGGAACACGAGCCCGTCTACCGTTGTAGGTTCCGTAAATTTTGCAATATACATACAAAGCAACAATAAGAAGATGGCTTCCACGTTCAGATAAGATTTCTCGCACAAAAGCATATTACAGGTACGAGTAATTGCACGATAAGCTTTACACGCTTGACACAAAATAACGGCGCAATAGATTGGTGTTCTTATCAGTCAACGCCGTTATGAAAGTCTGTATTTCAAAATAAAATTGCAGGAATTTTCCGGTCAGAAGCAGATAATAGATTGTTCACTGATCTTGTGACTCATGATCTGTTACATTTCAGTGAAAGAAAAAGAGATAGCAATACAAAGTTACCCAAATTTTGAGTAAGATTGAAATGAAGAGTGAATATTCACCGATCATAAAATTGCTGATTGTGACTCTCTAAATGCGAAATTGACCGGTTTTATGTGGCAACCACATACATTACAACCTCTTCTTGTTACATACCCATTAAGATCTACCAGTGGTAGACTACCACCGAAGCCTAGTCCGATCTACTTCAAAATAGGGGAAAAGGGTTGTTTTGTAATCAAAGGAACACATATTAGTCATTTTTACTTTTTATGCCTTATTGATAGTAACAAGACTCGGTTTTGTCCACCGAAGATGATATTGAAACAAGGAAAAAAATAGGTAGATATTTTTCATCTACGTGATACCTACACGGATAGAAATCTCCTTATACCTTTTGGCAAATTTCTATTGCTTATTATTCATAAAATGTATAAGCCAACTAATAGGCAGACGCCTTGCAAAATGTTAATGAAGATCATGTGTCAAATGAAATGTATAATCGGTCACACATACCTTTTATACATTCTTATAGGACCTATGTAGTTTATCTTATGGAATGTATAAGACTGATGTTTTGGCAAAAATGTATAAGTGAAACGCATGAATAAAATACATAATTGATTTTCGTTTCGTGTAATCTTTTATTCGCTGTTCTCTAGTTTAAAGTGGTTAAGACTACGATCCTGTGCGCCTTTGGAGGGTGTTCCAACACTCCGAAGGGTATAAAGAGCGGGAACTTTCAATTAGGATCGATTCCTTGGGATGAAGGCAAGATGACAACTGTATCAAAACCGAATACTTCATCATTTCTCAATAGTGATGAAGTAATACGACATGCACTAAACTATACTACAATAGATCAAATGTGTTGAAATAAAAACGTGTTTTTATAGCAAACAAATGGCCGCTGTACTTGAGATCAAGAAAAATATTAAATAGTTATATTTTTTTATTCATTACGACAAATGGTGGTATCACATTTCCTGGGATGCCATTTCCCGGAATGTGATTTGCCGGAATGCCATTTCCCGAAATGGAACATTTTCTAAAATTACTTTTCCCAGAATGAGCTTTTCAAATGGACCATTCAGGGAAATCAGTTTATTTATATAATCGAATCAATCCAAAATGACGCACATTATATATTTAAAATGTCATAAATTTACGTATAAAAAAAGTTTGTTACAGTCCACTGCCCACTTGGCAGCTTCAAGTATCATTTTTTCCAAGTATTATGCCAAACGATATTATGCCGAACGGGGTAAACCCTTTTCGAACCAATCTCCAAGCTCTAGGGTCAGCTTCATAAGTTCACGGCAATACATCAGTTTTGGGTACACTAGAAAACCCCACTAACTTTGAGAACTGAATTTAATCCATGATAATCTTTGAAAATTGAAAATATTCCAACATTTTTTGGGTAACTATAGTTCCAGAGCACCATAATCTTCAAAAGAAGTCTTCAATGCCGACAAAACGTGAAAATCAGATACCCGGGTACTGCTGGAACATTCTGAAGGATTTCATAAAGTATTGTAGTTTTTAATGTTTCAAATTATTGGAGCACCTGCAGTTTCAAAAGTTGTGAGTATTATTACTTCACACACAACTGCCAGAGTGGGGTTTCTTGAGCTCTGATGTAAGAATCTCTAGAAATTTTACACACAAATAGTCTCATGAATGACGAATATCTCAGGTTTCTGACGTTATGGTGATTATCTAAAGAAGCAAGTTATTGCCACGCTGGACGTAATAAAATGGATGAATCTTCCACTCAACATACACTTATCATAGAAAATGAAGTCCTATGAATTTGTCCTGCAAAAAGTATTTATTAGATTAGCAGAACAAGTTATATGAGATCTATTGAAGAATCTAACTATTAAATTCTACTGAAATCAGTTTCAAAAATTTGCATTATCATTCTTCACAATATCAATCAGAAAGTTTGCTGCACAAAAAATGTTTAATAGTTGGTAAAACCACTGGAATAAAAAGTAAATTAATAGTTGCAAATATAATTATAACAATGTATTCATTTTGTTTGATAAGCTTTCCGCAAAATTCGTCCGAAAGAGCTATGAAAACGCGCTGTAACAATCCTGTGATTTGAAAAGTTCATCATGCGAATTCAAAAAAAAAATAGCATCTTCCAAAAGCATATGATACAAAACCGCAGTGTATTTCAGAAAATATCGAAATCATACAAAAGTTATGATATCGTAAAGCTAATAGTACGTTCAGACTATATCATGTAATATAGACTATCTTGATATCCACAGTCATACCTACGATTTCCGCTGAAAATTTGACGAATGAGTGCTCACAAGTGCAAGACAGCCTATATTACATTATATCAGCCATAGTTTGAACGTACTATAAGATTCGTCGATTATTATTTACAAGTCGATTTTTCTCTGTACTATATTATTCAAGAATATGCTGTGACACGAATATGATTTTTTTTTTATAATTACTTTATTTGTACAGGCTCAATCGAATAAACTTTACAGAGCCAAGTTATCCTTTGCGTTATACATTATTACTGTCTTAAATTTAAAGTTAAAGGAACTGGACCGAGTACTCGCGGTCTAGAAATATGAATGATGACCATGAATTCTGTATAGACTGTTTATTGTTGGAAGGTGTTTATGAAGTAAATAATTGATTTCCTTTATTTAATTGTCATAACAATCTTTATTTAATGATCAAAACTCTATTTCGAAAAAAATGAAGATCTCTGAATTAACAAATTTTCAAGATTCAGTGACTCAAATATTTTGCAAGAAATAGAAAATTCTGTGACCAGGCTTCGACCATGTTTAGAGGTAAACTAAAAAAATAGAAACAGAACAACTCGATTGAACTTTTTTTCTTAAAAATTCCCAGAGGTACGACATGGACAATTTAGGGGGAAGGAGTAAACGAATGTCCACGGTTCATTTAAAATAATTTTGAGAAAAAAAAATATGGAAGAATTTCTACGCAGGAGGAGCGGCTATCTAAACAAATCCTGTCAAAAGCTGTCCAAGAGGAATGTGGACAATCCCTGATTTGTAGCCCGGATAACTTCTGAAGGGTTTTATTTTAGTGTTTTTTTTAATTCCTAATAATTCCAGGATTTCAAGGTAGGGTTACGGTATGTAATGTGGGTCTAGTCCTTTCATTCGGCCTATCACGCAAATAAATAATTAATTAAGGAATATTACACAAAAAATAAGGAAAATATTGATCACTGATGATTGATAAATGTGTACCACACACAAATCAATTTATATCACAACATTTCAATACATTTTCAGCTCTCGTAAGTAATAAAACTGGTTGAGAATATCACTCTGTTCGGAGTTTTTAGCCGCCATGACTTCTAAGGTTAAGATGGGAAGGTTGCACTGACGATCATCAAATGGCCTGATTATGGCATTTATTGAATGGAATTACCTGATAATACACACTAGACGTAAAACTCACAGTTACTGTTTGAATATTTTATGTTTATTTTAATTGTTTAACAACGTTTTCACAAGTAAATCATGGACCCAACTTTAGGGACACATTTCTTTTCTATGTTCCTAACTTTGGCCCATGAAATTCATTTGACAGCATATAGCAATAAGAGTAACGTCAACAATGTGGTTTGCATTTGGATGATAAGGAACGAACAGGAAGGGAGATTTTTTCTGCCAAATCTGTATAATGAACATCACAATGTTTTGATTTAGATATTCTGCGGTCGAAAGACGATAAGCGAAATTTTTAATTTTTAATTTTTAACTTGAGTGATTTAATGTATTTTTCGTAAAATTTTCTCTAAGAAATGTTTTGAGGAATGAAGAGTATTAAGTTAACAGTGATAGTGATAAAAAAAAATACATAAGAAAACGTTACCAAGAGCGTTTTTTTTGAGAATCAAACAGGATAGGACGAAGTTGCATCCATAAATAGACCCAATTTGGGGACAATAGACCGATATTACATACATTTCCCTGGTGAGTTTTTGTCTTAAAAAAAGTAAGTTTTTCAACTTTTTGCGGTTCCTGATAGCAAACGACATGATAAGCATATCTAAGCATACCATTTAGCAGTAGAATATCGTTTGCAGGTAAATTAATTGATGAGTTATGATTAAAAACGTAATCTATGGCTGCATATTAGACCGAGGTTAGGGACGTATACTAGTTGCCACCCTGGAAAGAGTAATTGGACTGATGTAAATTTTGACATCATAGAGTACGATCTAGTTCAAATGGTTCCAAATCGAACTCTCCTAAAACTTAATTATTTTGTTTGAAATCTGACTTTCCACAAACCATTTAAATTTAACGTGAAAACTACTATGGGTAATCTGTAATGAGTTTCCATGTCCTTGTAGCTTTTTCCCATTTTAACATGTGGAAAAACTTTTAATAAATAAACTTATAGGAAATTGTATCATGTACTAGTTTGCTACAGACCACCATTCCTTATAAGAGGTGAAGCAAATTAGTTACTAATTATTTAAGTGAAGTAAGAAAAATATGTCTCATTGTACATGACATTTTAACGAATTATACTCTAGTACAAGTATTACATTCATTGTCCTTCCTAAACTCCGTTTTTCAAACAGCATACCGATGCACAATCTCCGTCCGTCCCCGTCGCCTATAGTTGCCTACGTATACAAAAATCACCAACACAAATATATCACTATTACGGTACTTTCGCCTCAATCTTCAAGCGGTCGTGCTTTCTTTTGTTTACGTTTTTTGCACTATCCCGCAACACGGTATCTAGTTGCCTTTTCCCATTCGACACCTTTCTCTTTCTCTCTTTTACACCATATTCACACAGCTACATAAATATCTCGGCCTACCGCTTCCACACAACTTCATCCAACAGCAGCAGCAACACGAAAACCAAAGAGACACCCCGAAATGAGTGGGCCAAGTGCACCAAAAATAATTTTCAAGGCGATCTCCGTTCACATTGAATTCAGAGGCAAACGAAACGAAACGTAAAAAAATTCTCGCCGAATCCATACGCAATTTCGCAACTCCGTCCATGCCGCCATTCAAGGGAGCAACGCAATAGATTGAAATCACAACCCGCCGCTTTTAGTGCTGAGCGGAGCATAGTAGTCGACGTCGCACACGCGGTCTGTCTCTCTCTCTCTCAGCACTCTACCCTAGCAACACATGTATAAACACACACTTTCAGCTACTATCCAGGGTCGTCATCGTCGCTGTATGTAGCAGCAGAGAGTAGGTAAGGTGTCACAATAATCGCAAATCAACTTTTTTTTATTACTCCTCTTAAGGCAACTACCACCAAACCCATTGACGTCTCGATTTCCACTATCACCCTTATCAGCCGAAAATGAGAATAATCAAAAGTAATCACTACCTCTTGAAAAACTTGATTCACTGAATTTCACGAAATTGCGAAAATCTCAATCCTTCACAGTAGTCTCCACACGTTTTGAATCCACTCAGCAGACACGGTATATCCTTTTCTGGTTCCAGCTCTCAGGACAACAAAATTCAGATAGTATTGTTGTTATCCTTTCTAGTTTTTCTCCTTCAGTTGCCGACTTCTACAGCACTATTTCAAAATACACTCGCGAAATCCAGTCGGATTCCGAAACACCTAGCTATCCGCGGCTGGTTTGCTTTGCTATTCCGCTCCACACACGCGATTGTAGTGGCAAAGCTCAAAATATACAGCACACACCGCGCAGTGTCGAGGCAAAGCGAAAACAAACTAGAATTTGAGCGAACGAACCGAAAATCAGAGAACCAAAAAGGTAACTGCGACGAGAGGGCACGTAAAAAAAAGCGGACCGCTACAGAAAATGCTTCAAAACACGTTGAAAGCCATTACTGTACTGAATCGAAATTCCGAACGAACTGTGCTCTGCTGCTCTGTGCAAAGCGTCAATTTGGCGTCGCATGTGTTGGGCGAGAGAAGCCACGCACGCTGTCATACAATCTCACACATACAACTACATCAGGCGGTCGATCTGAACAGGGATGCCAGGTGTATCTATAAAAATTTTCCGAGATCGATGAAAATTTCACTACTTAGGGTGAAGACATTTAATGTCTTCACCCTAAGTAGGCGCCCTATACACAGAAAAAAAAGTTGTTGAATATTACATCCAAACTGCTGCAACCAGGTCAATCCATCGGTTGTGTAATATAGCGTTGTAGGATGTACATCAATTTTACGAACAAAATTACATCCATTGATGTAATATTGTATCTGCTTTTTGCTATTACATCATTATTTATACATCAGCTTGATTTACATTGATCGATATTACATTTTTTTTTGCTGTGTAGAAAGATGACCCATATGGTGGTAACATAGAATAAAGGGCCACCTACATTAGATCCGCTTGCGTTTAAACCTGCTTTAATTTAAGGGTAATAAAAAGCAGTTTTCTTCCATAATAACACTGCCGGACAGTGGGGGTTAGATTGTACACACACACACACACACCTACATTAGATCCGCTTGCGTAGCGTTGACGTAAATTTGACAGTCAGACAATAGATTTAGCTGTCACTTTGCCGCAACGCATCCGATCCGGATCTAATGTGCGTGGGCCTTAACTTTAAGACCAGAAGGTCCTGAAGAAACGTGCTCAACTTTTTGACTCAGCTCTGGTACCACCCGGTGGAAACTAACGATTTTAAATTGGCTCACTACTTGACTAGCCTATTCGTCCCAAGCAAATCGATAACCGTACCCTATTTCAGCACTACAATATGTTTGTTTTGATTTTCTATAAAAGTTTGACAGATAAAATGAGGGGTTCATAGATTTCCTTATGTTTCGAGGGATGCATCGATTAGCTGGGGGCCCAAGATAGTACCAGAGCTGAGCCAAAAAGTTGAGCACGTAGGCATTGGAGAAACATTTAAATAATTAAATATGAATATAAATACAAATAATAATAAAAAATATACATATAAAAATAAATACAAATAATAATAAATATATAAATAACAATAATTAGCAAACAAACAACAAAATAAAACTAGAAAATACCAATGCAGCTCTAGTAGATTCTATAGCAAATTAAAAATATGTGAAAGATTTAAGTTTACTCCCTTTTGAAAAGTCGAAGAGAAATAGGTTAGAATGCTTTTCAATTTCGAAGCAGATACTAAAAAAAATATTTCTGAGATATCAGCAAAGCCGTTGTAAGAAATATGAAATAGGATCAGTTTTCAGACAATTGTAGTAACGAGTGGATCGAAAACAGCGAAAAAAATGAAGAGAGGCAAGAAATCCGACAGTTTCTTTAGGACTTTCTGGTCTTAGAGTTACCTCTATGCTATTACCAGTTACCTGCGAGTAAGTTTAGACGCTCAACAAATCTCACACTAGCGAATCAATCTTCGAAAAATCTTCTTTCATTTGTGGCATCTACTTGCATCGCGCATCATCTTTTTGCAGGAAATATTCAGAATCGTCATCAATCTTCTTTCTATCTACTCGACGTGCGCACAGCTAGCCACAGCAAAACGCAATCTTTTCTGCATCGTAGATAGAGTCGTCCACCTCGGTTACCTGTATGCAAGGTTGCAAAGACTCATTTCAGCTAAAATAATGTTTTTCGGAATAATAAAACCAAAAGATGGTATGATGGCATGTTTTACTTGTAACTTACAAGAAGAGGTTACAAAGTATGCGTTGGAAACATAAAACCTGTAAATTTTGCTTTCTATGAGTCACAATCAGCGATTTGCTGATCGCTGAGTGAGTGAGTGAGTGAGTTTGTGAAAAATCGCTGATTGTGACTCTCATGAAGTGAAATAAACAGGTTTAATATGTCAAACACATTCTTTGCAACCTCTTCTTGTATCCTACCAATTCAAAATTTGATCATGGCATCTAATTATTTCATAATTTAGAAAAACATTGTTTTAGCTGAAATGAGTCTTTGCAACCTTGCCTGTATGTAATTACCACAATGTACTAAATAAAGCGAATAAATTTTTTCATCTAAAATAACGAAAATATTGTCAGTTATGAATGCAATACTTGTAATTTACTGGCTGTGGGGACAATAATGTTTATTCAATTTGCTTGTTTGGTACCCCGCTTGACAATTCGATTGGTACTTCACTCTTGGCGCGACTCTTAAGGCCCAAGCGCAATGACAGCGGAAGCGGACCGGCAGTGGCAGCGGAAATGCTCGATCTGAGTAAGCCTACTTGTCGGAAAACTAGTTAAAACCAAATCGACTTCGGTTAGGCATCTTGATGTCATTTGTGACAACCGAGGTGAAAACTGTCAAACTTTCCGTTTCCGTTCCGCTTTCGCCCACATTGTGCTTGGGCCTTTAACATTGACTCTGGTCCTCGCTCTCCCGCATAAATGCGAACCATTACTTGACCTTACCAAAAATGGTAATTTTTTTTATAATCCCTGCTAAACTTCAACTGAAATGGTTAATGAACTTTACATGAACGTTTGTGTGATAGCGTAAAAAAATCCAATAAAAATACAATGATTTTCATTGTCATTGTAACCATGATAATAACTGTCAAAATATTGGACATTGTTGTCCATTACCATAAAATCACAACGAAATTCATGGCTCACAACAATGAAAATCATGGTATTTGAGAAATTTACAGTAAAACAACAATATAAAAAAGGGATTTTTCTCGAACAAATTTGATCTCATCACACTAATTTTCGTTGTTTGAGCATTGTATCGCTAAAAATCGAAATCTATTTTTTCTCTCGTACAATAATTTAACAATCAATTTTAATGTACTCAAAATTCAACAGTAAAAATCATTGGAATTTCGTTGTTTTAGTATAATTTTTTTTTTCGGGTATGTGTTAAGGTTTTTCGGAAGTGACCTTACAAATAATTTGTTGTTAAGAACCATTACCATTCCTAATTCTTGTTTTCTCCATAAATTTTTGGTGAAGGAATTATATTGGAACCATTTTATTTATGGTTTGAGAACTTTAATGGTTATGGTAGTCGGTAAGGTTCATATATGGTGTTGTAACATCGATCAACTTTATGTGTCGCGAATGGATCACATCATTCGAGCAGTTTAAAATGACGTTTCCTACCACTCGAACTTTAACGTGGAACAATATTTTGATATTTTTTCTTCTACAACCTCGAGAAAATAGGGTCTTATTTGTAATATGCTTGAAAACATCTGGAATTTATTGTTTCATGTTTGTAAACTCGCTGGTAGAAGGTTGTCCCAAAACTGCTCGACAATATGATTGTTCTATTCGGGGGCATTCGGAGGTTATGTAGTGAAACACACTCGTACGATCTAGCACTTTATTCTTACCTATATTTACAGTGGTGTTATCTGCTCGAGAGCGGTCAAGGAAAAAGAGACCGATACAATGGGTTGTTCTGCTTTTATATAATTTACATTAGTGTTGCCTGATAGGACCTCTATCAACCTAACCGGAAATACATGATTGTTTCGTTAACTTTCGTTAATGTTATCTAGATATACTACAACTTTCCCCTTTTTAACATGAAATTACTTTTTTCAGTAATCTTCAAATCTAAACCTGTCCGGAAATCTTTTTGGTCTTATTGATCTTCTGAGGAAAATTTCATCGTTCATGGATTCACTTCTTTCTCGTTTCATATCGATTTGAATTTTACTTGGTGGTGAATCTCCTAGTGATTCACTTCGCTTACGTTTAGAAGTTACATTTTCTGTCATTTTCTCCGGCAATTTCGTTAGATGTTTATCAACATGTGAACTTGGATATCTTATCTGATTCTCATGTACATTTTTTATGCTTCCATTTTCAATCAACTTTATCTTATACATTAAACTACCAATACGTTCCACAATTATGGCTGGAATCCATCTCACGATTTCCTTCAAATGGTTTCTGTACATTATCTTTTCCCCTTTTTTAAAGTCTTTCTTGGGATTACAATTATCATTTTTGCGTTCACTGTTCCTCAAATCATATACATATTCTTCGTTTTTGGATTCATCAAATTTCACACTTTTACTGTTCTTCACTTCTTGTTCTTCTTTGTCATACGATACAAACTTTGGATTTATGGTAGTTAAGACCGTTCTAGGTTTATAACGAAAAATTAATTCACTTGGGGATTTCCCTGTAACAGTTGTTGGTGTACTGTTGTACCAAGCAAGTATTTCGTTTAGTTTTCGTGACAATGATTTTTTCTTCAACTGTTGATCTAATAATCGTTTTTTCAAAAAATTCTTCACCGTTTGAACTCCTCGTTCAGCTGCTCCGTTTGATTGCGGATGGTACACTGGTGATTTTGTTACCTTGACATTAAGCGATTCCCAATATCGTACAAATTCACTCGAATTAAACGGTGGTCCATTATCGGACACAATTTGTTCTGGCAAACCAACAAATTTGAAAAAATCGTCCAACTTCTCATTCACCTGACTAGCGTTAGTTCCGTTCATTACTGTAGCCTCAATAAATTTAGTGAATGAATCAATAATCAATAGCACCTTTTTACCTTCAAAGTCAAAAAAGTCAATATGGATTCTTTCCATGGGGCTCGCACAACTTGGCCATTTGGACACGACCGTTTCCTTTGGAACACTTCGTCTTAGATCACACACTTCACATTGCTTAAAATAATCCTCAACGTCATTTTGCATTCCTTTCCACCAAAATAAACCTCTAGCTAACATTTTTCCTCTCACAATGCCATCATGATTAGTGTGTAACATCTTTAGTATAATATTTTGCAAAATCTTCGGAATAATTAATCGATCACCGTAAAATAAACAATTGTCTTGGCAGCTTAACGACTTACGCAAATTAAAATAATACTTCAATTTTACCGGAACTTGATTAGGCCATCCCGACAGTACAAAATCCAACACTTGAGCAAGAGTTTCATCTCTCGCCGTAAAATCCGCTACATCACTTGTTTTCAAGGGTAATTCAGGACATTGCTCCAACACGTTTATGGACAGTTCCTCAATATCTGTTCCGTCAGATACTGGTAATCTGGACAAAGCATCAGCATTTGCCAAACATCGACTTGGTCTGTACTCAAACTCATAGTCGTACATGGACAAAATCACCGCCCACCTTTGTAGCCTAGACGCCGAAATCACTGATGTTCCTTTCCGAGGGTGGTAAATTTCCTTCAACGCCTCACAGTCTGATACCAGCTTGAAGCGATGCCCGTAAATGTATTTGTGGAATCGCTTTACAGCAAAAATTATTGCTAAAGCTTCCCGGTGAAGCTGTGAATAATTCTTTTCAGCAGGAGATAACGTACACGAGGCAAAAAGAACTGGTTTTTCTTCTCCGTCTACAATGTGGGATAAGACAGCACCCACACCATAAGGACTTGCATCTGCTGCGACTACAATCGGTTTTTGAGGATCATAGAGCTGTAATAAGTTATTCTCTAAAATGAGCTGTTTGCTTCTTGAAAAACACTCTTCACAATCCGCGTCCCAGACAAATTGTACATCTTTCCGCAGCAATCTGTACAGAACTCTCAACTCTGCTGAGATATTTGGTATAAACTTCGAGTAGTAATTTAACAAGCCAAGGTATGATTGCAGTTCACTAATGTTTGTCGGAGAGGGGGCATTAACAATTGCATCTACTTTTGATTGGTTTGGCCTAATGCCATCTTTGCTAATAGTGTGACCTAAATAATCCACTGATTCCAAGAAAAACTTGCTTTTTTCCATGTTAATCTTCACATTATACCGGCTCAAAATTTCTAGCACACGATCCAAAATACGCCTACACTGTTCTAACGTGCTTGCTCCAATTAGTACGTCATCTAGATAGGACACGCAACCCTCTACGTTCCCCAAAATCTGATCCATAAAGCTTTGGAAGATCGATGGCGCACTTGCCACACCGAATGGCAATCGAACATATTGGAAAAGTCCAACGTGGGTATTAATCGTAAGAAACTGCCGCGAATTCTCTGAAACATTCAGCTGCTGATATGCACCCCGAAGATCAATCACGCAAAAGAATGTGCAATTCGCCAGTCGAGCGAAAATATCGTCGATTCTCGGTAACGGGTAATGTTCTGATCGTAAATATGGATTAATCGTCACTTTGCAGTCAATGCATAACCTCAAACTCCCGTTGGATTTGGGTACAACTACTATGGGAGAAGCCCACTTACTATGTGAGACTCTCTTCAAAATATTTTCCTCACAAAGCCGGTTCAACTCCGCTTCAATGGCAGGGCGTTGTTGAAAAGGAGGTGAATATGCCACGTGGAAGATAGGACTTACATTATCTTCCATGATAACCTCCGCTTCGAAATCTCGAATGGGAGTATTGTCGTTACAAATAACGTTTGGATATTTCAATCGGATGGAATCAACAAGGGAACTTTCAACATGGTTCATACTCACGATACTCTCCTTGAACTTACTCCTCCATCCGAGCCACATGACGTCCATCCATGTACGTCCAAGCAGCGGTCTGAAAGCCTTGTTACTTTCGATCACCACTAGCACTAGATTTTCACTCGGACCACGTTGATTCTTCGACACATTTGCACTAAATCCTCCGATCACCTTGATACCCTGTCCCGTCACGGTTGAAAATTCATCGTTTATCTTGAACAGCGGTAAGTTCGAAAAGCACTTCTGATACAACCGATCGTTTATCACTGTAGCACAGGCCCCGCTGTCTATTTCGAATTCAATCGGTTGACCTTCAACGAATAACACTTCCGTCACCACACTGCTTTTTCTCAATGGAGTTTCATTCTCCACCAAGTTCAGCTACATCCGGAGGTTGGCGATTTCTGCTGCGAGCTCCTCACCAGCATCAACCGTACCAACGGTTTGGTTCCTCCTGGGTTCTCGACTACCACTACGATACTGATTTGAACTTTTGCTGTAACACACGTTTGCCGTATGGCCCTGCTTACCACACGCGTAGCATTTCCAGCTTTTCGCTGGGCACTTGCCTTGTTCATGATCACGACCACATTTGTCACAGATTTTTCTTCGGAAATTTTGATTTTTCTGACCGCCATTGCCACTAGCAAATTTCGAACGACTTTTGCTTCTATTTCGGTTGGGCTTACCCGATCGCACCACGTGGGCACTTAACACGTTTTCACGCACCTTATTATCTCTTTCGGCCAGTTCCCAGTTCAGCGCATCTTCCACCGCTTTGTCGAACGTTAAATCTTTCTGCTTTAGCAGATGAGTACGAAGCCTGCTGTCGTAAATACCGAACACGAATCTATCACGTAACGCTTCTTTCAAAAACGCATCGAACTCACACTTTTCCGCGAGAGCTTTCAGCTCCACTACATATTCAGTCACCGATTGACCCGCCTTTTGATCCGCTTGATGAAACCGGTAGCGCTCCGAAATCTTATTCACATCTGGCCTGAAGTGTTTTTTCAGTGTCGTCACTAACTCGGCGTACGATTTCGCACTAGGACTCACTGGTTGCAAGAGCTTCTTTAGAATAGCATAAGTGTCCATACCTAAATGCGTCAAAAGAAACGCCACTTTTCTATTTTCCGGAATGTCGTGCAAAAGAAAGTGTTGAATCATCCTTTCCTCATACACCTCGAAATCGTCACCCGTGACGTAATTCTCGAACGATCCGAAATTCGTCACTACGGGCTTGTTTTCTTCGGTCATTTTTAACCTCACTTATCGCGTCTCACTCGTATTGTACAAACGGTAGCTTTTCACTCCACTCCGTTACACGACACACGACACGTGTCTTCAAAACTGGATACGAATTTGTACGCGGACGATACTGTTCACGATTCACTTGTGCTTAACAAACGGTAGCCCTGTCTTCAACTCCGTTACTATCGGTACGCAGCACGTGGTCTTTTCAATTCACTACACTTGTGCACGCTTTCAATCCTACATCCCTCGTCGCCACAATTGTTCTATTCGGGGGCATTCGGAGGTTATGTAGTGAAACACACTCGTACGATCTAGCACTTTATTCTTACCTATATTTACAGTGGTGTTATCTGCTCGAGAGCGGTCAAGGAAAAAGAGACCGATACAATGGGTTGTTCTGCTTTTATATAATTTACATTAGTGTTGCCTGATAGGACCTCTATCAACCTAACCGGAAATACATGATTGTTTCGTTAACTTTCGTTAATGTTATCTAGATATACTACAATGATTAATTGGTTGGCTGTAAATTACTGATTACCAATTAGCGAATATTCCACGTAAAGTTGACCGATAATACAAAACCATTAATTGACCTTACTGGCTACCATAACCATTACCATTAAAGTTCTCAAATTATGAGTAAAATGTTCTAATAAAGTCATCTCTTCGAAAATGTATGGAGAAAACAACTATTTTGAATGATGATGGTTCTTAACTACCCATTATTTGTGAGGTTCACTTAAAAGGACCATAATACATAAGGTTAAAACTTTATCAGACAAACGTTCATGTAAAGTTACATAACCATTTCAGTTAAAGTGTAGCAGGGATTTTAAACAAGTTTTAACCATTTCCGAAAAGGTCAAGTTATGTCAAAAGTAGGTAAAAATGAACTGGCCGTTGGGAACTTTTTTCTTACCGTGTACAATTTCCTGTCAAATTAGCTGTCATCGCATAAGTGACAGCTGACAATCATCCCGAATAATTCGATTTTCCAAAATCGCGAAATAAGTGAAAACATTCAAACGAAGACGACTACAAACAGCCATACGCAGTCGAGGTTCCATTGTTCTGCGGAAAAAGTTATAGCTTTGGTGCTGAAATCAACCTTCTAGCATGGCAAACGCTATGGTGCGTTTAAATTCGCTTCCGCGTCAGCAGATTGGTAAGTTTACGACGTCATTTTTGAGTGGCTATCGGTCAACTGATTTGGTGTGTCATTATGTAATTTTACTGAAACTAATTTTCCCTTATGGCTTCTAGCGGCCCTCGTTCCGGCGCTGAGAGGTGCCTGTGCCTCGTCGGTAGTCGCATCTAACAAGCAACAGGTCCGACATCAATCCGCTCAGGCTTCGGCTCCACCACCGCAAACGAAAACGAAGTTTGGACCGCTTGCCGATCAGGACCGTATCTTTACTAACCTGTACGGACGTCACGATTGGCGTCTCAAGGGAGCCCTCAAGCGAGGCGATTGGTACAAGACCAAGGAGATCCTGAATAAGGGAACTACGTGGATCATCAGTAAGTAGGGGGTGCATTTTGGTTCAGCTCAGTTTGAATCACAGGTGATACATATAAACTTATGTGTTCGGTTTTAATAGATGAGATCAAGGTCTCTGGTCTGCGTGGTCGTGGTGGTGCTGGTTTCCCAACCGGTATGAAGTGGTCCTTCATGAACAAGCCATTCGATGGACGTCCAAAGTACTTGGTGGTGAATGCCGATGAGGGTGAACCAGGAACCTGTAAGGATCGTGAGATCATGCGCCACGATCCACACAAGCTGATCGAAGGTTGTCTTATTGCTGGTCATGCTATGGGAGCTCGCGCTGCCTATATCTACATCCGTGGCGAGTTCTATAATGAGGCATCCAATATGCAGCTGGCCATTGCTGAAGCTTACCAAGCTGGTTTGATTGGCAAGAACGCCTGTAACTCCGGCTTTGATTTTGATGTCTTCATGCACCGAGGTGCTGGAGCTTACATCTGCGGTGAAGAGACTGCATTGATTGAATCACTTGAAGGAAAGCAAGGTAAACCTCGTCTGAAGCCCCCATTTCCAGCTGATGTTGGTGTCTTTGGATGTCCTACGACTGTATCCAATGTTGAAACGGTTGCCGTTGCACCAACAATCTGTCGTCGAGGTGGAGTTTGGTTCGCCAGTTTTGGACGCACCCGTAATTCGGGAACTAAGTTGTACAACATCTCTGGCCATGTCAATACTCCTTGCACTGTCGAAGAGGAAATGTCAATCCCGTTAAAGGAACTGATTGAACGCCATGCCGGTGGAGTTACCGGTGGATGGGATAATTTGCTGGGCATTATCCCAGGTGGTTCGTCGACTCCTATTATCCCGAAGAATGTTTGCGATGACGTTTTGATGGACTTTGATGGGCTGGTTCAGGCTCAAACATCACTCGGAACGGCCGCCATCATTGTGATGGACAAGTCGACTGATGTCATTAAGGCCATTTCGCGGCTGATCGATTTCTACAAGCACGAGAGTTGCGGCCAGTGCACACCGTGCCGCGAGGGTATCGCTTGGATGCATAAGATGATGCATCGCTTCGTCAGTGGAAATGGCCGCCCGGAAGAGATCGACATGCTGTGGGAAATTTCAAAGCAGATCGAAGGCCACACCATTTGTGCTTTGGGTGACGGCGCAGCTTGGCCAGTCCAAGGTAAGTTCCGTATTTAACGTTGTTATTTAATATTTTAAAGGCAATTCTTGTTTGCCATTCTAGGTCTTATTCGTCACTTCCGGCCGGAAATCGAGGCGCGTATGAAGAAGTATGAGCAGCAAGTCGTCAAGCAATGAAATGTCAATGAAACTTTTCCAGAGAGGAATAAATCATAATATGATTGTTAGAAATTGATAAACTATTTCGTTTGATCCGCATTTGATTGAAGTGTGGCATCGATACACTACTTGAGAAAGTTAGGAAATTATGAATTTCGACTTTAATCTTAATCATCGAATAAAATATCCACATTTCAGGAAACATTTCAAGCAACCTGACACATAATTCCGAATAATCCTTAACACTAGGGCAGGGGCGTAAAATGTCGAAATGGGTTCCCAGTGATTGGCACTAGATTGCGGAACAGAGACCGACGTTAAATAAAGGAAAGACGAAGAAGAAGACGAAGCTTATTCACGTTAGTTTCAAGAAGCCAAAGTTAATTTTTTGATTGACAAAGTTTTCTTGAAACTAATGTTAGGGGAACGAGGGTCGATAACACGCGGCTTGCTTGAGGTAACAATTGGATAAACAGGTTGAAGTGGGGCTATGGACAAGGAATACACCCTTGCGCCAAAAAGTTGAGCACGTTTCTTCTGGACCTGCTGGTCTTAGAGTTAGGCAGTTAGGTGATAGGCAGTCAGCTGAAAACCGAAAGGCTTATCCGAGCTGAAAACCGAAATGGTCAAAAACAACAATCAGGTCGCTCAACTCACTCACATAGTTAATGCTGCTTCCCCAGGTACATCTGCTAGATCGAATCATGATCGCTCCTCAAAACGCCGTCGAGGTGATACGGAAACACCGACTAAACCGAGTACTAGGACAAGAGTCATTGGAACTAGCGATACGCTCGCTGTCAATGCACCATCAAACCTGTTTTGGGTTTCCCTTTCCCGGTTTCACCTCTGTGTTAAGAGGGATGTGGTTGAGAAACTTGTTCGTGATGGACTGCGAACGACTGAACCAGTTAAAGTCGTCTCTTTAGTGAAAAAAGGCACCGACCCACAATCGATGAACTTCATCTCTACAAGGTCGGCGTTCCAATGGAACTAAAAGAGAACGCTTTGAACCCTGAAACTACCCGCATAAACAATAACCATAAGAAGCGCCTAATACCAATTCGGGATATCATCCCAACTTTATATGGTATGGTCGAATCATCTATGAGATCGTTAATGTATGGTACCCGTTTATTAGGGTTGGCCAGAGGGGATTGTGCTCAGATAATTCGAGGATACTCAGGCGAAAAACAATGTATGGCCACCTCCTGATATCCCAGCACTCCCTGCCCTCATTCCCGGTGGCTCTCCAACGGGCACACCGTTTGGGACACCAGCACCTCTCGATATGCCAGCCCCTTTAGGTACATCCAGTATAACAGTCACCCCTTAATCACCTCATCTGACGAATCAACAATGCCCCCGAGACGCACCGTAGAATCCTGATGGAAGCCCCCGATCGCCCCAACACAGTCCCGCCTACCGCCACCTTCGTTCAACATAGTCGTCTCGGCCCTGTAGTTGGTGGTAGAAAGGGGATCTTCTACCATGCTTGCATAGGCAAGTACCTCTGTGATTTAAGTTTATCGTTGCACGATGAGTTCTCCCATACTCAGATTATTCTGACCCCGGTCCAAAGCGAATTTTCGGTGACGCCTTCTGAAAATCTCTTGAGCCAAATTACTTCTCTACCAGGACGCACCGTAGAAAGCATTTTGGGAGTCCCCAATTCCTCTAAATCAGTCGCGCTTATTGCAGCCAGCGTTCATCCAAGTCGTCCTGGCCCTGAGTTAAGGTGTGGATTGAGGGTCTACCAGCTTGCTATATTAGGCAAGTACACACTTAATAGCGAACTTTCACTGCCTGATTATGAGCATAATTCCAGTGCCTTCCTTACCTCAAACATCTGCCAGACGGCAACATGGAGCCATCACAGTCAACTGCTCTCCGGGACGGATTCTTGCCGACTACCCTGAGGAAGCCCCGAACCGCTCATCGCAGTCGAGCCCCCCCTCCCCCGCCAGCGACCAGCAGTCCTACGTTTGAGATGGGAGAAGGGGTCTTCCAAGGGGTTATTGACAATTATGATCAACCGACGAATTTATTATCGCCTGAAAGTATCTTGGGAGGGGGCGACCCCGGCGTAGTGGTTAGCATCCATACCTCTCACGCCAAAGTCACGAGTTCAAATCTCACCCCCGGACAAGTCACAAATGACCCAAAAGCGTTAAAGTGACTATAATAAAAAAAAAAAAGTATCTTGGTTTCTGTGGTATCCTAAAGTTTACACCGTTTTATGTCTCTAATAAGTGTACTCGCCATCCAACACAAACTCTCTTCCTTGACATCCCATTACACACTGAATTAAACACAAACATCGTATCTGTTAGATACCACAGTTTCCAGCGGCCCTACTCCGTCAAGTGACATCTACCAGCTCCCAAATGCAACCACACGCTGAACCTTCCATTGTTCCCGAACAGCGGAGCTCGGACACAACGGTTTACTATCAGAAAGTTGGCGGTATGGACGGCTTCGTGGAAGATTATTATCTGGTCGTTGTGGATCACTGTTACGACAGTATAGTTTTGACCGAACCATTTCAAACTATGTAGTTGGTGCTGGCTACGACATATTTCGCTGCGATCGAAACACGAATAATAGTAGGAAAACTACTGGGGGAGGCGTCCTTACACGGTTGAACAAGTGTGGGTGGCTATTCAACTTGGTGATCGTCAATTGAGAAATCCAACTTAAACTCCTGCGCGCCTGGTGGCAGGAATAAGCACTAACCGACGGTGATAAGTCTGTGACAGCCCTTGATAATTTCATTGATTGTTTGCAAAATTGTTTAATTTCAATGTAATTTCATGCAAATTTCTTGTCAGCATGGATGAACCTTGTACAAAATGCATAAAATTATTTTGTAATGCATTGTTCCTAAATAAAAAGCTACTTCAAGACAGTTAAATTACAGAAAACATGTTAAGGTTTGAAATCATCTGCCGATTAAACAGCAGACAAAGTTGGCCGACTAAATCCATCGACGAAAAACTATTAAATAGGCCGATTGCTCGGTGTAGCACCAGACGAAAAACGATTTAATCTGCTGATTAATACACCGACTGAAATTAATTTTTAAGTGGCAATAGATTTAGTCGGTGGACGAATCGGGTGATCTGGATGATGTTTGTTTATTTGGAAGATATTTTTGAAACAAAGCACGATAAAATTCAGAATTATATACCATTATTACGAGTACTACTTTTTTGCTCGGATCATGTTTTGACTCCCACAGAAACTCGCTAGAATAAATACAAAATAATAGTTTTTTGGTTGAAATTTCAAAAATGTATTCAGTTTGACACATTATTTCGGACTTATCACCGCTGCGATTGCAGCGCCACGGTGGCCGATTGAAACTTGGATTTGTCAATTGTTCTTGGCGATTTTAACCTACCGAACATTTCATGGACTTCAACCCATAGTGGTTTCTTTTGCCCTGATCACGAGCGTTCATCTTTCCACGTAGAAACCAGCCAGCTCCTGGACAGTACCGTAATTCTGTCACAAATCAATGGCCTGTTGAATGAAAACAACCGCACCCTGGATCTCTGCTTTGTGAGTGCTCGTGATACAGCTCCTTTCCTCTCCACGGCACCCGAACCTTTAGTCAAGGCAGTCCATCATCAACCTGCTTTAGTTATCGTGATCGAAAATAATATTGTCCATGATTTCATCAGCACTCCAAACGCTGTGTCATATGACTTCCGTAGAGCTGACCAGCACAGTATTGTCCATGTGCTGTCTAACCTAGATTGGTAGCATATTCTAGATCCGTAGACGTCAACATTGCTGCACAAGCCTTTTCTCAAGTCTTGGCTTATGTCATTGACAGGCACGTTTCCACAAAGATCATCCATATCGACTCTCGCGTCCCGTGGATGACGAAAGATCTTCGCTCGTTGAAAAGAACTAAAAAGGTTGATCTCAGAAGATTTACTAAATTCCGCATACTGCCGATATGTCAGACTCAACCAACAGTATAAGCGGTTAAGTCGTCTCTGTGTTCAAAGCTATCAAAGGAGGATTCAACGGCGGCTAAAATCACACCCGAAATTCTTCTGGAGCTTCGTAAATGAGCAACGCAGGGAAGTCGGCTTACCGTCTTCCATGATTTTTAATGGTGAAACTGCTGGCAATCAACAAGACATTTGCAACCTGTTCTCAGCCAAATTTGCTAGTGTGTTTGAAGACGAGCAACTCTCCGCTAATCTCATTACTTCCGCGGCCAGTAATGTTCCTTTGGTCCATCACTTGTCTTTTAGATCCACTGCGCCGCATATTCCAGCGGCATCTTTCAGTCTTGCTGGAAGACTGAGGATATGTTTCCTGTTCATAAAAAGGGTAGCAAACGCGACGTAAACAACTACCGGGGAATCACGTCGCTGAGTGCTGTATCAAAACTTTTTGAATTGGTTGTCATAGAGTCCCTAAATGCGCATTGCAAGTAATATCTAATTATAGATCAACACGGATTCATAACTAGGTGTTCCACAACTACGAACCTGCTGTGCCTAACGTTTTACATCACAGACAGTTTGATTGCTCGGACCCAAACGGGCGTTATTTAAACAGATCTTACGGCAGCCTTCGATAAGCTGAACCACGAAATTGCGATCGCTAAGTTTGATGCTAGGGATCGGTGGAAATCTTTTGATATGGTTTCGTTCATACCTCACGGAGCGCCAACTGACAGTAGCTTTGGGTACTTGTCACTCAGCAAGCTTCTGCGCAAAGTCCTGTACACCTCTGGGTAGCCATCTGGGACCTCCTTTACTTCGACGACGTTCACCATGTTATCACAGGCCACGATTATCGTTCGCAGACGATTTGAAAGTTTTTCTGCGCATCCGCTTACTAGCCGACTGTCGTTCTCTCCAAAATCAGATTGACATCTTTGCTGACTGGTGTAGTAGTCTAAACTGACTGGTGGTCAACCCAGCTAAGTGTACAATCATTACTTTCTCACGCAAGAAACAACTGATTATTTTCAACTACAAACTACTAGGTACGACTATCGAACGGGTGCATTGCGTGAAAGACTTAGGTGTTTTTCTGGACTCAATATCGTATATATCGTATGTCATCGACAAAGCGTCCAAAACTCTTGGCTTTGTTTTCAAGATTACTAAGAACTTCTCAGACATTTACTGCTTGAAATCGCTCTATTGCTCTCTCGTACGATCTACGTTGGAATACTGCTCGTTAGCTGCCTTTGAGATACCCACTTCATCTTCCAAGCTACGAGAATCGTTGCCAATTGATCAATGTCGAGCCCTTACGTAGCCCTTACTGCGAAGCAAGTCTGCAACAAGTGAACATTAATGTTCAACCTCGATCACTATGCAACAGTATGACTTCCACTTCTTCGAACTAATTATAGCTTAGGGAACGCTATTTACGGCTTGCAGCGAGTGTTCAACCGAGTAGCGTCGATGTTCGATTTCCACTTGACACGGAATATGCTTCGCCGAAGATACTCTGCCTTTTTTTGCTAACCGAAGGCGCTTGACGCCCAACAGCTAAGTGTAAAATTTTAGACTTATACATTTTTAGTAACTTGCCAATGCGTTCCTAGTTATTTTCCTTTGTGACTGTAGTATATGCAGTCTGTATAATCTGGGACTATTTCTAGTCTGTTGATGCAAACATAACAAATAAACAAATAAACCGGTTTAATGCATTTTAATTACCGAATTTTCACTGCGGTTACTGTAAATAAACATTATTCATTAGGTACCTGAAAATTAGTTGCATATGTTTGGAACATAATTTTGAATGGGATAGTAACTGAAATTTGAAATATGAAAATTGAATTTAATTAAGTATATTGAATGTCCCCCAATTTCGAAACTTTGAATTGAATGTTTTATTATTTTAACACAACATTTATAAGTCCATAATTTTGTATTTTTCGGCGAATCCATACACATGAAGACAAAACTATCAGGATAAACTCTCTCTGTAATATAGCTTGATCGGAGTTGTAGAAGGATAATGATTATTAAATTGAGCCAAAAAACAACAATCTCGTAGTCCTACGTCAATAATGCGGTCGTGCTTGGGAGACAACCCTTAACTTTTTTTGTGTGAAAAATAAGGTTCGAACGAAAACAAAAATATGGGTGTAGATGTACACGGGTTTCTTGCATTTATACTTACAATTTATCCAAAGTTCTGCACTAATACTTGGGTATTCAAAATCGTTAGAGAAAAGTTTAAAATATGATTATTTGCAGTTGATCAAACATATGCTACGTCATTGGTCCCTGGTCTCTTAACCAGAACTTTTTTCTTTGCAATAGTTTACGGGTAGGAGGTTCCTTCAAATATCAAAATTATTCTCATGTTGTTTTCTGTTGCTTTATTGATAATTTTAGACTTACACTTCCAAACTTTGTTTTCTGGGTTCTGCAGTTATAGTTGCGGTATTGTTGAAGTAATCAATTTTGTGTAGCAAATGTTTTTTTTTTCAATTCATGAATCAAATGTTTGGGATTGGTTTAATTTATTTTTCGTCATTCATTAATTTTAGCTAACAAGTTTCACGGTTATTGTGGCTTCTTCTATTTTTTTTTTAATTTTTGCCAGTGTCGTGCAACCCTTCAAGAAATATTATACATTTTTTTTTCTGTTAATTTTTATAATTGTTACATGTTAGTATATGTACGTGTATCTGTGTGTGTGTTTTTATGTGTGTAAATGTTCATAGCAGAATTGTTATAGCTTCGAGCTTAAATCAATCATTGCGAAGGTTTTCCTTTTTAAATGTAATACGGCTATTACTTTAGCTGGGAAATTAATTCACTCAAAGCTACTTTCGAGAAAAGTTTTAACAAACGGGTTTTATTGTATACATTTTTTTTTGTTTCTGTTTATTCTAGTCATGTTGAATGCTGCATGAGCGTGGTGGCTGCTATCGAGGCAGATTTTTAATCGGAAAATGATTGCTGTTGGAAAGCTTAAGCATGGTTCGACTTTTTTTTTTCACCATTACTTTTAGTCTTTCTGCTCAAAGTTTACAACAGCTGCCTTACGGAGAACTATGCAGATAACTTCACGACGTTAAACTTCACACACCGGATGAACGTTTGTAGTGAAAACCGTTTCTAATTTTGGTTGTGCACACTTTATTGCTGTTACTAACTGATGTCGTTTTAGTTGTTGGTAATTTTTGAGGAACCTTCTCTGACCAAGACAAATAATTTACTAGATTGTAGGTATTTCTTTTTTGGGTTATCATAGGAATTCCACAAAATACGATTCACATTTGCTAAATAAAACAGCACAAAAAATCACGCAAATGCGGGAAATACTTTATAGATCATTTCCAGAACACGCGTCGCTATGGTATTTTCCCAATGTCTAATGATTTAGTGGATAGTGCGTGACTCCAAAATTCTATTTGAGAATATTTTTTATTTTGCCTTAGCTTGATGATGGTTATTTTCACTAGTTAGCAATTTCTCTACACTAGGGCTATATAAGTTTGTTTGAATGAACTACAATTGAAAGGTGCATAACTCAGAAAAACCAAATCCTCTCTCCACGAATTATTTTTGTAGGCGTATAAATAAGGATAATAATGCATAGGCTCCATAACAAGATACGTGATATAAGATATTTTTTTTTTATTATTGATTTATAATCACTTCCTTCAAAACAATTAATAGCTAAATAACTAACTGAAGATAAATCGTATTAGATGCAAACGTGCAGTAGAAGTTAGAGCCGGAAACATCAGCCACTGTCCGATAATTTACCAAACGCTTCTTAACGCGACACAGCGCATCCTATTGCACTAACTGCATTTGTATTTCCGGCCTTAACATAAGCTGCGTTCTGTTTCGGAATTCTGGATTAACTGGATGTTTGCTTCCAAAAACCTTGCATATTTAAATTAACTTATTTTTGAATCGATTTTAAGGAAAGGGGGAGGGGGACAGAAAATTGAAGTAGTATCAAAGAAAACATAACTGCTGACGCAACGGGATCGCACTGGATCTCATCTCATTACCTTATTTCACTCTCTCTCTCCTCCTTCCACTGTCTTAGCGATGGCGATAATAGGAGATGCCCGCTGCCCGATCGCTCTTCTGCGTTCGTTAAGTTTTTAGATAATACGGGGCAGTAGGGTAGCGTAGTTGTAATCCAAAACGACCGCCGGGGAAGTCGTGTGCAGCAAATGAGTTGTCGTAGCGGCGGTTGTGGCCGTGGCTCCTCCGGTAGCAGCTTGAGCTACCTGCTGCGGCATCATGCTGCTCGTTGTAGCCGGATGAGAAGCAGGAACCTGCGGCTTAGGAGCCTTATGCTGGAACACGCAGTGCGGCTTGCGACAGCCACCGGGTTGATCCTCCCAGAAGCACGGCGTTGCCGAACGGGGTTTTTCGATTTTCATGTGACGCATGGTGCAGGTGCGATTGTAGCACTTACCTTCCTGCCACAGTTTGCAGGTTTCCTCGTGTCCGAGTGCCGCCGCTTCGTGGCGGTACTCGCAATTGGATCCCTTCTTACATGTCGAATAGTAGAAGAAGTAGCAGTCATGCAAATTCCTTGGTAGATCCATAAATGGTTGCTTTTGCACAGGTGGTGTCTTCCGTGGAAGTCGTCGCCTTCTTGGTCGGAGAGCAATTTTTGCTGTCTTCGGTTGGTGATGCTTCTGTTGAGGAAAGGCCTCGTCGCACGGCGATCGTCGAGTTTAGCTTTTCAGACAACGGAAGAGGTTCCGGATGGAGCGCAATGTGTTATGATTAGTGCACTTTTAATGCTAAACTTTTTTCCACGGTAAAATTGGATAATAATACAATAACACAAATTACTCTTCCATCCACTATGTAAAATGGACCCCTGTCAGAGAGCGTGTCACTTTCTCTTATGTATTTTATTTCGTTCCGTCACAAATTGCAGCTGTCATCGGTTTGACAGTTTCAATATGCAATTATATCGTGTCGATATTGCAGGAAATATGCAGTCATGGAATCGCTCAAAACCTAAGAGAAGAGGTGACAATACGGGGGCGAAAATGAACCACTTTCTGTCAAACGTGAACCAGCTCCTGATTGGCCGATTTCATGTGCGTAAGATAGAGATAGGGATAGATAAAGATAGAGATAGAGATAGAAATAAAAGAGGAAGAAGCCAATTGTCACCTCTTCCTCTTAGCTCAAAAGTGAGTTGAATTCGATTCAATTTAACAAAAAGTTTGTTTGCTCACAAAGTGAGTAAAATTTTCCGAGCTTTTCCAGAAAAATCATCACGGCCACTGAGAATAACTCAGAGAGAGTGTCACTTCTACTCAGTTGTATGAGAAATTTCTATTAACTACAGGTACTCAGCGTTGAGTTCCTACAGTTTTTAGAAATTTCTCCAAACATCTCTAGATAGAGCTGGAATTAGGGCGTAACAGCTTTTGTAAACAATGACTTCTCTTGACGATTTCTAGAAAGTTAATGCTCGCCAACGAAAATCAACAACACCATCGGATAAGGGAAGACTTCCCCTACCCGACGGTTATTTGGTTTGCTGGGTGTGCCATGAGTTTCCAGAAATCATCGATAGAAGTCATTGTTTACAAAGGCTGTTACGCCCTAAGTCCAGCTCTATCTAGATCTGAGTTATTCTCAGTGGCCGTGCAGACGAAAATTTTACTACACGCAGAAAAAATATTATCGAAATAAAAATATTTGAGGCGATACATCTAAATCTCAATTTACAATCATTGAGGTAACTTTAAGACTAGTAGGTCCCGAGGAAACGTGCTCAAATTTTTGGCTCAGCTCTGGTACTATCTTCGGTCCCAAGCTAATCGATTTACCCCTCGAAACATACGAAAATTCACTAACCCTTCATTTTATCTGTCAAACTTTCATAGCGAATCAAAACAAACATTGTGTAGTACTAGAATTTTGACTAGAATAGGGTACGTTAATCGTTTGCTTGGGACTAATAGGCTAGTCAAGTAATGAGTCAATTTAAAATAGTTAGTTTCGTATTGATTGTTGCTTTTACTGTACACGGTGTTTCGTGAAAACCCATTTATGGGTAAAAAAATACCCATTTTCAAACCATGTATACAGCTGTCAAAAAATGGGGGAATTTGGAAATCATAAAATGAGTGAAAAAATACCCATTTAAAGAATCAGTTCACGATTGCACAATGGGTATATTTTTTACCCACTAATGGATGAAAAAACACTTGGAAATTTTATCGTCTCATTCCGTCACCGACCATTGAGAATGCAAACAGTTTCTGTCCGCTTTTTTTTAAAGCAAAAATGGACGATCTCCGGAAAAGGTTAGATTACGGAACATTGGAGAGGCTTACGGATAAGTCTATACAGTTTTATCCAATATGGTATTATAATGTCTCCTGTAATTTTTTTTTTCGCTACACCTGCATTTATTTTCAATGTAAATATTAGAAAGTTTTTTATATCAACGATGACAAATAACCCAGCACCAGCATCCTCCATTTGAAGAAATGGGTATTTTTTACCCATTTTACAAAAAACACCATTTCTAGATAGAGCTGGAATTAGGGCGTAACAGCTTTTGTAAACAATGACTTCTATCCATGATTTCTAGGAACTCAAGGCACGCCCAAGCATACCAGCATAACCATCGGATAGGGAAAGTCTTTCCCTACTCGATGAAGATGTTGGTTTGCGTGGGCGAGCCTTGAATTTCTATAAATCATCGATAGAAGTCATTGTTTACAAAAGCTGTTAGGCCCTAATTCCAGTTCTATCTACACGAAACGAAAATCAATTATGTTATTCATGTGTTTCACTTATACATTTTTGCCAAAACATCAGCCTTATACATTCCATAAGACGAACCGCATAGATCATATAAGAATGCATAAAAGGTATGTGTGATCGCTTATACATTTCATTTGACACATGATCTTCATTAACTTTTTGCAAGGTGTCTGCTCATTAGTTGACTTATACATTTTATGAATAATCAGCAATAGAAATTTGCCAAAAGGTATAAGGAGAGTTCTATCCGTGTAGATTTATTGACAGATCCCCCATTTACCCATTAATGAGTAAACCATACACGCTAATTCTGGTCAACTCAAAATTGAGTCGAATGTACTCATTTCAGCGGCAAGTAGAGCTACTCAAAATTGAGTAGCCTTATGTTGACTCACTTTTGAGTAAACGATGTTCTCACGTAGACTGCGTCAAATCCACTCGGCGGTATTTTCAGTTGCGAGGAGGGTGGAAATTGCCTGCTCCGGATTCATTCTACCGGAGCAGAAAATTGTTCAACACCGTTTCCCTAATAGTACGTTCCGAATACAGAGTTATAACATGTTATAGCGCTATCTTGATGGTGGTTTCTATGTTGCAATTATTTGACAGCCGTTATAACATGTTACAACTCTCCAGTATGTACAGCGTTTAAGCTATTCGTACTTACCTGAAGGCATTTCAGCCGGTTTTAAGTAACATTTTCTATGAGGTTACCTCCGAAATGACTGGCATTTTTTCCAAGTCCATGATTTTGCTGACTGAGTGGCTTTTACTCAGTTTGACCTTTCTCGTTTACTCAATTTTTGACAACTCGATACATCGGATAAAAGTGAGTACGATCGACTCACCTGGTGAACAATCAGAAGTTAGCGTGTAGTTTACCCATTAAATGGGGAGGAGCATTTTTAGCGGAAATGGGTGTTTTTATACCCATTAATGGGTTTTCACGAAACACCGTGTTCGACTTTACTGCCGCTATTCGCATAACAGTCTCATGTCCTATGGGCGCCGGCCCGGATTTCCTATCTACATAGGACTGTTATGCGAATAGCGGCAGTTTAGCCTGATGCACCACATTTTATCGTTTTTCTGTCAATGCCATTTGAAGTTTTGGTTGTCTGTTTCTGTCTGTTTGTCTTGTTATTCTTGCGCCACCGTTTTTTTTTTCGTGTGAAAATCCATATTAAATTTTGTGTTTGATCATTAAATGATTTAAATTTTATTCGAGAAACACTGTCTACAAATAATTTTCTGACAAATTCACATCTGTCTTGTGGTTAAAAATAAAACAGGAACCGGTAGTGCGGGTGGTAGGTGATATTCTCAGTTTTGCTTTCCTATGGCAGCAGATCATTCGGGGACGACAATGCGTCCAGAAGAGGTCGCATCGGCCGGCGGCAGCAGAACCATCACCGAAACCCTTACACAGGAGCAAATTCCAGGCACTAGCAGTCAGGTAGGTGATTTTTTCTTCTTCCTGAGATTGTCTTTTATTTGTTTAATATCAGACGAAGAGCACAGTTGCGAAAGTGGTGGAAATTGCGCATATTTGTGTGTTCATATTTGCATTGCACCTGTCGTTGCTTATCAGCTGTGCGAATTCTTTATTTGAAAGTGAATCTTTAAAGATCTTTTTTTGAAAATGTTACGTTACTGTAGTATCTTATTGCGCCGCAATTGTCCACAATGGAGTAATTCAAGAAAGTTCCACCGAGGGAACATTCTGGCAAGTGTGAAACCGGATAATTATCCCTTGGAGGGAATCAAAATTTTGGACCTAACTCGAATCGTGGCCGGTCCCTATTGTACGATGGTTTTATCGGATTTGGGAGCGGAAGTTTTCAAGATCGAGCGACCGTTTTACGGAGATGAATCCCGAAAGTGGGGTCCCCCATTCCTGCAAGATTCAGTTGATTCGGTTTACTTCATGGCGTCGAATCGAAACAAGAAAAGCGTATGCGTGGATTTGAAGAAGGGAAAAGACGTGATTTATGACCTGGCTCGAAAGTGTGATGTCCTGGTGGAGAACTATGTTCCTGGAAAGTTAGATAAATTTGGGCTAGGATACGAAGACCTGAAGAAGATTGCTCCCTCGCTGATTTACTGTTCTATTACGGGATACGGGTCGGTAGGACCATATAAAGGCAAACCTGGTTACGATGTGATTGCTGCATCAATGGGAGGCTTACTTCACATCACCGGAAGTGAAAATGGTGCCCCAGCTAAAGTAGGAGTTGCCATAACGGATATTGCTACAGGACTATATGCGCATGGAGCTATTCTGGCTGCGTTGTTACAGCGATACAGAACAAATCGCGGTCAAAAAATTGATGTCAATTTATTCTCGACACAAGTGGCCTCTCTCATCAATGTGGCCAGTAATTATTTGAACGCAGGAAAGGAAGCTAAACGCTGGGGAACGGCGCATGAAAGTATTGTTCCTTATGAAGCTTTTCCCACTAGCACCGGTCATATCACGATTGGTTGTGGAAGCAATGCTCAGTTTGAAGCACTTTGCAATTACCTGGAGATTCCGGAGGTCGCCAAAGACTATCGTTTCGTAACCAATCAAACCCGCGTCAAGCATCGTCAAGAGTTGATTTCTATTCTAACACCAATAATTCAGCAGCGTACCTCTGCCGAATGGATGAATATATTTGCCAATGCACCATTTCCAGTAGGACCTATCAATAGCATGGCAGATGTTTTCCACGATCCGCACATTCAAGCAATTGAACTGGTGAAGAGTCTCGATCATCCTACAGCGGGAAAGGTGAGGGTTGTTGGCCCTCCGGTCGTGTACAGTGAAGCCAGCAATCAAGCACAGAGTGCCCCGCCCCTCCTGGGAGAACATACTGATTTGGTTCTACGTGAGTTGCTGAACTATACGGATGAGCAAATAACAAAGCTCCGTCAGAATGAGATTATTCAATGATATTCTCAGATGCATTTGAAACAAAAGATCTATGATATTAAAAAGCATTTAATGAGACATAACTTTTTTATTAGATTGTTCAGAAAAAAATTCCCTAACCTCTACAACTCAGTTTATCCGGTGCTTTTAGGTAAATTCAGCACGTATGTCTTCTGTACCATCTACTTCATCCTGTTTGACTTCCAACTGCAAAAGCGAGATTGGCTCGTTCGATAGCGATTCATCAGTAGTTCTCCGATTATAATAGTTTTGATGATTTCGTTTGTTCTTTGCTTCTTTTGAAAAAAACTTCTTTTGTTTGCATCATAACTTCATAGACGCATTTCGCGCCAAATCGTATTCGGAGCTGGCAGCACCATCTCAGATTTCAATGAAACTTTCTGGATGTGTGGACCTTGACTAAATAAGGCACTTTGCATATACTTAGTTTTTCCAAAATTTTTCTAGACTAACCTTTGAGAAGGGCCAAACTTTTTTTTGCCTATTTTTTTCTCAAAAATATATGAAAAAATGACAACTCCTACAAAAATGTGTTGTATGGATGACTTTTAGGAAATTGTCCAAAAATTCCATTAGAGAATTACATTGAAAAAAATCGATTTTAAATGTTGAAGTCGATTTAAAAAATGGTAATTTTTGTTTTGATGAAACTTTGTCTCAAGATGGGTATTGTTCGCGACGCGCGTGTCACGTTCATCAGACGAAGCCGAAGGGGCTTCGTCCTTTATTATTATTTTTCGAGAGGAACTCGCAATCCGCGAAGGATCACGCGGCGAACTTTCGGCGTGCGGTTATTCACAGACCAGACCGGAGGAAGGGGTTCGAATGCCTCACGGAGGATCCTAATCGAATTGGTAGGTTTCGACTGGCTTCGAGCTCGTCGTTCCAACAGCAGGAACCGATACCACTTGAAGCGAGATTCGCCTACTTTCGAACAGGATTCCTTAGGACTTGGCTGAGTGCTCTACGGTTGGGATATGGTTGGACGGTAGCTGCCCAGCTCAGATGGGGGCAGTAGCGCGATTCCAACAGATACACCAGCGGTAAACCTGATCAGCCTAGTCGGGGAGTGCCCAAACTCTGAAACGGGTTCCGACCAATAAAGGTGCTCGGCCGGTACTTGCCCAGCTCAGATGGGGGCAGTAGCGTCGATTCCGAGGAAACTCTTATTGGAAACGGATTACCGCGAGAGAGTTTGATAGGCTGGAGGCGAAGAGTGTTATTGAGGTGATATGTAGGAGTAAGGGTGGACCTGGCGACAAGTCCGTACACTTGGATAGGATAGTGAAAACTGAATATATTTTGGTTGTATCAAAACGCTTTTATAGCGTCCCTTAGACCTAAGTTTTGGGCGTCGGTGCCCACGTACGCATGTGCGTCTACATATCTTCCCGCACAGGGGTTCTAGACGCACTTTCTTCCTAATTCTAGATTTCCCTTGGTCACGCATCCTAGTAGGGGAACGTTTTCATTTTTAACTTTTATGACCCAAGTTCTCGCGCCTCGCTGGTGCATGTAAATTACTTTAAATCAATCCGCACCAGGCTTCCTGTTTACATTGGCCCGCTCCCCAGATCTAGCCTATAGCTTGGATGCGTACGCATGCATCGCTGCCTATCTAGGCCTAAGTGCATTTTTCCATTGATTTTGCTCTCTGCGGTGGAACCGTCGCTAGCTCGGTTTTATTGCCCTTTGTGTTTTTGGAAGGATGCCGAACGCAAGATTGTCCCTTGGGACGATTTCATTGCTTTCTATTAATGCTTCAACTATCCTTCCCAAGACTGGTTCTATTACGATAATTCGTTTATCTTGGCGTTGTTACGCATCTTTTTAGAGAACCAGATTTTATTACCTTTGCGCCAGGCTCGCATTGCCGGGCGCACCGAGCTCCATGCGACCGATTCATTACCATTCCATTCACATAGCACGCGGACTGCCTTGGCATCGAGCGTCTAATACACCGCAGCGCTGCACGCATTGCAGGGCTGCATATGGTTCACCGTGAAGCGAAGAAAGTGGAAAGTAAATGCGTACTGATTCTATATGCGTCAGCCAGATCTGGCGGTGTGGCATGTTTACTTCTCGTTTACGAGGCGTGAGTTAGGGTAGGTTTGGTCTTGACTTTGTGCTTCTTGCACCTCTCTTAGACAAATTTCTTGCTTTCGCTTATTTCCCGTACGAGGGCGGTGACCTATCGTGGGAACTTGAAAATGCATAATGAATTGCGATATTTTACGTTGCATCTGCAACATCCCGGGCCTCGTAATTCTTACTAGATTTACTAATCTAAATCATATGTTAATATTGCAATTTTTCATTATTGGGATGTTACATTGCTCCGAGTGTTTAAATTCCATGTTTTACATTTCAGTGTTTGATCTTGTATGTAGTCATTAATTTTTCTAATATGTTTATAATTTTCCGTACTTTCGTACTGCTTTTACTGATCATGATATATAATTTTCGTAACTCTAATTGAGTTGATTTATATGCCTTTGTACTTCTACGTATTTGTATGCTTGATATATATCTGTTTTGTTTTTATGTTTATATCATGTCTTGATAATTCTTCTATAATTTCTTCTTAGTTTATATATAATGATTCGTTGTATAAATGATGATTACATATTTGTCAAATAATGTCTTCTCTTCTTGAGGTGGTGGGATGTTAGTTTGTTTGATATTTCTAGTTGTTAAGGAAAAACTATAATTTATTTTCTTGTCTTTAATAGATATAAATCCCATCAATATACCTCTTTTCATTTTATGCTAATTATGTACTTATTAATTTAATGTTATTTCAGGTGTCCATCTTCGGGTGGTGCAGCCGAGCGTCGCGCATGCACTTTTCGTCAATGTTGCTGTCTGCTACTACTTGTGAATTCGAGGGTGATCTCACCCTTGGCTTGGCTTGATTTTCTTTCATGTTGAATCGGCTCGGTTTTGAAATGCCGATTCTGGTGCAATGTTGTCTAGTTGATTCGTCATCTCGTTGTTGTCGGCATTCACTACTGGATGTGAATGTTGGTTTCTGGCGGACTGGCTGATACCCAGTCGTCTTGTTATCATATGCGTATTGGCTGACTTTTTAGGCGGGTATCTTCTATCGGGGCATCGTGAGCGCTACATAGGGGTGCGCAGGAGGGTGGGCGCGAGCCACCGTCTGTGGTTCTTCATCGGATAGTGGTGTGTTTTCTGAAGGATTGGTCCCATCTTCAGGCGTCGTTACATCATATGTTCTGGTCGTTGACTTCTTGATGTTCTTCAGAGTGTTCCTATGCGTGAGGAAGGTTGTCATGGAGTCCCACAGCGATGCGATTAGCTGCCATCCGAATCCATAGATGTCATACAATATGCGTCCGTGCATCAAGGTATCTACAAGAAACTTGATTATTCTGCCAATGATATACAGCCCGATGGCTGTAGATGTTATATTACCCAACCAAGATGACAATGACACAAGTTTTTCCCAATACTTGTTTATCATGTTGTCAATTAACTTTTCTGACATTAGGGCTTCGAAATGAAATCCCTGCTTGCTGGGATTTTGTCCAGTTAATATCTTATGTACCACGTTTGTGGCTATGCGACGGTCACCCTGATCGTATATCATGGTTCGCATCTTTTTCAAACTATCAGCGTCGTAAATTCCGCTTTCCATTAAATTTGGAAGAGGTGTGTAAGTCCATTTGGTCACTATGTCCGTGGCCAGTTTTTGTGGGAATGTAGTTTCTCTTATCTTCCCATCAAATGTGTACCATCTGCCTCCAAATTGGAATTTGGCTGGTAACAACGGTGTACATTCAATTTCCGTTCCTCGCATTTGTAGTGTACGTGTGACTGGGGTTAGAAACATTGTGACATTTCCGAACTTCACTGGAAGTTCTTGATAGCACCTTTCTGATGCAAACGGTTGCACGTAGACCGGCTTGCATTCCAATACGTGTAGCACTTCTCCGGCTACTACCGCGGAAAAACCCGTTCTTTTCATTATGCTATTAACGAATTCTGTTGGGTTTATGCGGGCAAGTGTAAGTTTTGTTTCCAAAAGTGCCTTGTCTAATTTACACATTTCAGTCATTACTGTATTGTATACGTCGTCGAGCTTCTGACCGACGTAATTCTCAACTAGAGTTATTTTAGAATTGAAGTATGTGAAAATGTCATGATTTTTTGCACTTGATGGTCTTCTAGCAAATGGAGACTTGAACTCCGCTTCTTCCAATATGAATATTCTCGGGTGGTCTGTGCTATAACCCTTGTATCTGCATATCTTCGCTGTATCTTTGGTGCGAATTGAAAACAAATGCGAATCGGAAATGGAGGTATAAACGGCATGTGGATTTGGTTTATTTCCTTCTATATTTATTGTCTTGTTAACCTTTCCTTCATATATAACTTCGAAATCGGTGTCTTCACACCGTTGGTTTAGGCTCACGTCCCAAGTGGAGTATCCATCTTCTGAGTCTAGGCACTTTCCATGTGAATATGGACATACTAGTCCGTGTCGGAGCATAATTTGATCATTCTCGTTATCGATTGTTGCCATGTAGTTATACAATGCGATTTCATATTCAAAGTATACTAACGCATTGATCCAAGTATACTCCGGTGTTTTATACACGCCACCGCTGCAAGAACTAGCCCATACGCTACCTACGACTAAGGTTTCTCCTCTAGTCGTGTGGTTTCTCTTAAGTTCGAGGAGTCCCGCGCTCAATGTTAAGGGAATAGCTCCCGTGAGTTGAGTGCGTCTACACTCGTCGGGTGTAAACTCCTTTACTATGTAAGAGTATCCGCGCTCATAGTCCGAGGTGTGCGAGTGCATTCCGCAGTGCCTTATTGATCTCTTAATGATCATTTTGCACTGATATACCATTGTGCTTCCCTTAGAGCTTCTTTGAAGTACTTGAATAGGTACTTCAGATATTGAAAGATTCTTTGTAGAAGGGATACAAGACGTTACGTCCAATAGTGAATAACTTGTCATATTCACTTCTGGGCTCGCGCAGTCATACGCGATAAGCCCGGTTGGGTATTGCCCTAACGCTGCCGTTATAAAAAATAATACCATTATTA